TTTGAATGCCCGGAGCCAACTGTAGGCCACTTCGTGCTCTTCGAGTTCCCAGAACTCCATTCCCGGGCCACATTTTGAATGCCCGGAGCCAACTGTAGGCCACTTCGTGGTCTTCGAGTTCCCAGAACTCCATTCCTGGGCATGATTTTGAATGCCCGGAGCCAACTGTAGGCCACTTCGTGGTGTTCGAGTTCCCAGAACTCCATTCCTGGGCATGATTTTGAATGCCCGGAGCCAACTGTAGGCCATTCGTGTTCTTCGAGTTCCCAGAACTCCATTCCCGGGCCACACTTTGAATGCTGAGGCAGGCTGATGCTGAGGCTGAGGCAGGCTGAGGCTGAGGCAGGCTGAGGCTGAGGCCGAGGCTGAAGGCAGACTGAGGCTGAGGCTGAAGGCAGGCTGAGGCTGAGGCTGAGGCAGGCTGAGGCTGAGGCTGAGGCAGGCTGATGCTGAGGCAGGCTGAGGCTGAGGCTGAGGCTGATGCAGGCTGAGGCTGAGGCAGGCTGAGGCTGAGGCCGAGGCTGAAGGCAGACTGAGGCTGAGGCTGAAGCAGGCTGAGGCTGAGGCTGAGGCAGGCTGAGGCTGAGGCTGAGGCAGGCTGATGCTGAGGCAGGCTGAGGCTGAGGCTGAGGCTGATGCAGGCTGAGGCTGAGGCAGGCTGAGGCTGAGGCCGAGGCTGATGAGGCTGAGGCTGAAGCAGGCTGAGGCTGAGGCTGAGGCAGGCTGAGGCTGAGGCTGAGAGGCTGATGCTGAGGCAGGCTGAGGCTGAGGCTGAGGCTGAGGCTGCTGAGGCTGAGGCTGAGGCTGAGGCTGAGGCTGAAGGCTGAGGCTGAGGCTGAGGCTGAGGCTGAGGCTGAGGCTGAAGGCTGAGGCTGAGGCTGAGGCTGAGGCTGAGGCTGAGGCTGAGGCTGAGGCTGAGGCAGGCTGAGGCTGAGGCTGAGGCTGAGGCTGAGGGCTGAGGCTGAGGCAGGCTGAGGCTGAGGCCGAGGCTGAAGGCAGACTGAGGCTGAGGCTGAGGCAGGCTGAGGCTGAGGCTGAGGCAGGCTGAGGCTGAGGCTGAGGCTGAGGCTGAGGCAGGCTGAGGCTGAGGCTGAGGCTGAGGCTGAGGCAGGCTGAGGCTGAGGCAGGCTGAGGCTGAGGCTGAGGCTGCAGGCAGGCTGAGGCTGCAGGCTGAGGCTGAGGCTGAGGCTGAGGCTGATGCTGAGGCAGGCTGAGGCTGAGGCTGAGGCTGAGGCCGAGGCTGAGGCTGAGGCTGAAGCAGGCTGAGGCAGAGCAGGCTGAGGCTGAGGCAGGCTGATGCTGAGGCAGGCTGAGGCTGAGGCTGAGGCTGATGCAGGGTGAGGCTGAGGCAGGCTGAGGCCGAGGCTGAAGGCAGACTGATGTTGAGGCTGAAGCAGGCTGAGGGCGAGGCTGAGGCAGGCTGAGGCTGATGCAGGCTGAGGGTGAGGCTGAGGCAGGCTGAGGCCGAGGCTGAAGGCAGACTGATGTTGAGGCTGAAGCAGGCTGAGGGCGAGGCTGAGGCAGGCTGAGGCTGAGGCAGGCTGAGGCTGAGGCTGAGGCAGGCTGAGGCTGAGGCTGTGACTGCGACTGCTGTTGCCACTGCGACTGCCATCGCGAATGCGACCACGACTGCGAGAACAGCAGAATTCTACAACAGGATTCTTATCTGAATCTTAAGGGGAATGCTTCCAGATATGCTCCTACACATCGCTGTTAGGTTGCTTTGCCGGGATAATTATTTTATTACGGGGCGGTGCTAATGATAACCCCGGGGGGATCCTTAATCGGTTCATGAGGTTATGCCACGCGTCCGCGGATAGAGAAATAATCCGCGCAATGGGGAGGAATGGAAGGGATGGCGCGAGCGCACCCAGCTTGCTTTCCTCCCTCTCCCTCTCCCTCTCCCCCGCCCTTCCGTTGATCTGTTGATCCGTTGATCCCTCGCGTTTCACCCAGCTGTGTGAAACGCGTTTCCGTTGATCCGTTCTCCGTTTCAATTCCTGTTGTCCATTATCTACAAGGGAGAAACAAACACATGTTATTTAATCGCTTCGCTCATGCCGCCGGCCCTGGAGCCCTCTTTAGGGCCTCTTGGGGGCCTCTTGGGGACCTCTTGGGAGTCTCTTGGGGCTCCTTGGCGGCGTTTTGGAGGCCCCCAGGGCTCTTGGGGGGCTCTTGGGGGTAGTCGATTGCGGCTCCCCCCTCGGAGGCCACGATCCTCGTGAGGGGTGTCGAAAAATACCCTCCCCTGGAGTGGTCTGGGGGCTTCTCCCGGGCTTCTCTCGGGACCTTGCCGGGGTACTTTTCGTCCGGGGGCCCCCAGGGGCCGCTCCGCGCGCGCGAACTAGAAATATTGTTAACAAGTTACCGGAGATCTTAGCACGCCTCTGGCCCGTTGGGCCGGCGAATTCCGGACCTGATCTCTGGGGACGTGTTGTGCGTGGTGGCTTGTGGTGAGGAGAGTCTGACGCTGCTTCGCCCGCGGTGAATGAAAATAAGGACAAACAGATCCACGGACCCTCAGTTTCATATTGTTACCGCGTCGAAATCAATGTCGGCACGCCTGTCGGCCAACCCGCATCCCTGACCCTCTCCATCTCCCTATCCTTTCCCCTCTCCCTCCTACCCCCCTTGGCCCGAGTCACCCGAGGAGGTCCTTGCACCCACCGCGGAGGGGGATCCCCGGGCATCGGGATTAAGCTCCGCGGTCGCCCGGCGCAAACGCAGCCCGGGTCAGCTTTCTGTGTGGATATTGGCCAGGTTGCATTTCTTCGGCTGCGGCTCCTTGTGTTTGCGCCTTCCTTTGCAAACTGATGTTTCCAATTACTGCCACGACTGCGGCCTTCAACGTGGGGCCCTTCCGTTCCTCTCTCCTGCTGCTGCTGCTCCTCGTGCTCCTCCTCCTCGTCCTCCTCCTCGGCACTTCCATATTAGGAGGAGAGCTGCTGCGGTTCGCTCGCGCTCTTTGTCCCCGCACCCTGGTGCGCCAATTGAAACTCTCGATACTTCCCCTATCGTCCTACTATTTCTTCCTCACTGCTCCCGCAACGGCCTCCAGAACAGGAGGATGAGGATGAGTAAGATGATGATGCTGCTGCTGATGATGATGATACTGCTGCTGCTGCTGCTGATGATGATGTTGCTGATGCTGCTTCGGATGAGGATAAGGACGAGGAGGTGGATCAGGATGGGGATGTTGATGATGATCATGATGATGATGTTGCTGCTGATGATGATGCTGGTGATGCTGATGGTCATGATGATGATGCTGCTTATTCTTATGTTGATGTTTATGTTGATGCTGATGTTGGCGATGATGATGCTGACGAAAACGATGACAATGGCGGTGGCGAAGCTGACGAGGATGACAATGGCCGATGCTGATGGTGATTTTGATGATCCTGATTTTGATTTTGATGCTGATTTTGGAGGGGGATGGTGAGTGTATGGGAAGAGTGCTGGTAATGGAACGACGGATGACCAGCATGAATCGTATGATGGTGGCGGTTTGTACGATTGTGAAGATGATGTCGATGGCGCAGGCGATGGCAATTCTGATGATGGCGAGGAGGAGGAGGGCGCGGATCATGATGGTGGTCATGGTGGCTATTTTTGTGATGTTGATTGGTTATCGTGATGGTGATTTGGAGATATGGTGCGGATGATGATGGCGACATTGTGACTACGACCGGACCGATCATGCTGTTGATGCTGCGGATGCCAGTGGTGGTGATGATAGTGATGAAACTGAGGATGACGATGCGGATGATGATGATGATGATGATGATGATGATGATGATGCGGATGGTGGTAAAGCTGATTGATGATGATGATGATGATGATGCTGGTGATGATGATGATGATGATGATGATGATGATGATGATGATGATGATGATGATGATGATGATGATGATGATGATGATGATGATGATGCTGTTTCAGATCATGAGGACTCTGCTGCGGCTGTTAATGGTGGTAAGCCGCTGCTGCAGCTGCTGCTAATTATGCTGATGATGACGACGTCGACGACGCCGCCGCCGACGAAGACGATGACTATGACGATGTTCTTGGCGATTATTCGGATGCTGCTCATGATGTTGCTGCTGCTGTGTTGTACTTGTTGTTGGACCCTCATTCTTGAAGAACAATGATGGTTGATCCTCCCCCTCGGGTAGCCATTGTATTTCCCTATTGAAGTGCCCCTCCCGGGTCTCGCACCATTTTCCATCAGGGGAAGTCTTGACCCTCAAACTGGGCGGCGGGCCCCCCAGTTCCAACAACGGCTCCCGCCTGATACGTCCTCACCATTTATTACGAAAGCACGGTTTCGCTTGCGCCTGCCTTGCGCTCTACTCAGGCATCGCGCTCTCGCGTGGGACCTCCTTACAATGTATTCAGGCGCTGTGCCCTGGACACTCAGGCCTCACGCTCTCGCTGTGGATTTCTTCACGATTTAGTTGGGAATCTCGCTAATGCTCGAAACTTCCTCGATATGCATGCAGGACGCTCGGCCTAGCCGCCTGGGACCGCCTTCCCGACCCGCCCGTTAGGGCCTATCTGCCCGATCTGCCCGTCTGGTTGTGCCTTTTGCTTTCTGCTCCTTGTCCCTTCCTGCTACTCTCTCTTGTGCTCCATCCTCCTCCCTCCCCCTTGTCTCTTCCTTCCATCCGTCCTCTCTTCCCCTGTCTTAGAGGCTGCACGAAATACACGTTGCAGGTATGGAAGATACACCCCCAAGGGGGCACGATCGGAGACGAGGAGGGCGGGTATCGAGGCTTTGGGGTATGCACGTGGGCGGATAAGAGCGAGCAGTCTTAAGTTGATTGTTGTTGCTGGTGTTGTTGTTGCTGTTGTGGTTGTTCTTGGTGATAATGGTGATGATGAGGAGGAGGAGGCGGATGAGTCTTGTTCCTGTCGCATGCATGTACTGGTGTTTGGCTGCGCGCCCCTTGCCTAACTCTCCCCTCTTCCGTGCCATTGCATGAGCCCTCCCGTGAAGGCGACCTGGTCGAGATGCGGCGCTTCTACATCCAGGACGGGAAGACGTGGGCGTTGCCCAACGTGAGCGGGATCGAGAAGACGCAGGATTGGGCGGGCCAGGGTTGATGGCATGTTGTCGGGGTTGATGCTGCGGTGATGATAGCGGGTGCTGTATTTGTAGCCTATTAAGAATGACAGCGAGGAGGGGAAAGGAGGAGGAGGAGGAGAGAGGACGTAGAGGGAAGAGGAGTAGGATGATGATGATGATGATGATGATGATGATGATGATGATGATGATGATGATGAGGATGATGAGGATGATGAGGATGATGAGGATGAGGATGATGATGATGATGATGATGATGATGATGCTTATGATGATGCTGATGATGATGATGATGCTGATGATGATGATGATGATGATGATGATGATGATGAGGAGGAGGAGGAGGAGGGGGGTATGGAGGAAGACAGAGGGAAGAGCTGTGTAAGAGGAGGAGGAGGAGGAGGAGGAGGAGGAGGAGGAGGGGGGTATGTGTGGATTGGCAAAGGGCAAGATGCCACACCCCTGCAAGCTCCGAGCATCCTCCCACTGCGCTCCTCCTGCTCACTCTTCCTGCTTCCTTCTTTTCTTTCTGCTCCTCCTCCTCCACAAACGGTTGTCTTCCACTGAGGCACTTGCCGCAAATAACATACATTATTGTAAGGGTTTGTTGCAATCTTGTTGTTGCGTCTTGGGTTTACCCTGGACCTTCTCCTTCTCTTCCTCTTCCTTCTCCTCCTCTTCTTTCTCTTCTTCCTCCCCTGCATGCGACTGGAAGCGAGTGGGGTGTGGGTGGCTTGGACGGTTACAGAAGCACTAGCAGACAGCAATGGACATTCTACCACGCCTCAACGTGCAAAGGGGCACGGTGGCGGGCGACGGGAAGCGCCTCCAGCGTGGATCGTTTTTGTGAATCAACTTCAAGCTTACGCCACATCCGCCGACCCCTTGTTTTTTTTTCTGGGGCGATCGCCGGTTTTGGGAGGGGCTCTGTTGGAGGCTCTGTGAGGCGGCCGGAGGGGTTCATGAGTGGTCTGGATGTCATCTTGGTCGATCATTTTTTTTTTTGGTTCTTCTTCCTTTCTCTGGCGCGTCGGGGTCCTCTTGGATTGCCTGTGGGCCTTCTTGGGAGGTCTCAGGGGTCGTTTTGGAGCTCCGGAGCGAGCCCATGGACTTGGGCGCCTCGTGGGTCGTCTTGGCGCCCTTTTGGGGACGTCTTGGGAGCCTCTGGGCCCTGGACGGCAATGCGGGACGACGTCGCGTTCACACTGCGACGCAAAGAAGGGCACCCTGAAATGCAAGACATGCACGGGACGAGCGCCGCGGAGAGACCCTCCGAAACGCCCGGCGGAACCAAGTGACGAGCATTGCGACAAGGCACGGAAGTTGCGAGGAATCTGACCGCTGGGGACGGGATGGATAAGGGGGACGTGGAGGAGGGAGGATGGGGGAGCAGCCAAAGGCGGAGAAGGTGAAAAGTGAGCCAGTGGAGGGAATACGAGACAGAAAGCTGAGAGGGGAGACGGGAGGAGGGGGCGGAAGAGGAGGATGAGAAGGAGCAGGAGAACACGACGAGGACGACAATGGCGGCGACAGACTCGACGGCGTAGGCTGGGCACCTTTTTGGGGCCATCTTGGGGGCTTCGTTGACCGTTGTGGGAGCCTCTGGCGCCGTCGTCGTGAGAATCCTCTCGGGGGCCTGCGGGAGGCAGTTTGGAGGCTTCTGGGGAGCTGTTTTGGGGCAGCTTGGGGCTTTTTTTGGGCTTGTTGGGGGCCTCTTGGGGGCTTCTTGGAGCCTCTTGGAGGCCTCTTGGGGCCTCCTTGGCGCCTTTTGGGGCGGAAGGCTAGAATTTTAGGTTCGTGGTCCCCGTCTGGAGCCTTTCTTGGGCCCCTCTGTGGGCCCTCTTGGACTGTCTGAAGGCCCTCTTGAGCCGTTTTGAGGCGCTCTTGGGCCGTGTTGGGGCCCACTTGGGAGCCTCTCGGGTCGTCTTGATGCCGTCTTGGGGGCTTCTTTCGCCGTCTTGGAGCGTCGGAAGCCCGAAAAAACGCGAAGGCCAAAAACGTTGAAAAAACCAATGGAAATCGACGATTTTGGCCTCTTGGGGCCATCTTGGGAGGCGTCTTGGAAGCTTCTTGGGGCGTCTTGGAGGCATCTGGGGCCATCTGGAGGCCATCTTGACCGTCTTCGAGTGTTTTTTCGGCGACTCGGGGCCCTCTTGGACCGTCTGCAGAGCTTCTTGGGAGCCTCTTCGCTCGTTTGCGGCCCCCCCAGCAGACTCTCTGGAGCGGATGACCCCCCCCGGACCGCGCCGGCGGATCCCGGGGAATCCGGCCGGACCCCCCCCCCCCCCCCTCCAAAACGACCGGACCAGGCTCCGGGGGGAGGGGTTTGGGGAGGGGGGAAGCATCTCACACGCCGATGACCCCAAGGGGTCGGCGGATTTTAATTGTCTCTAAATAAGGGTGGCGGATTTTAAAACATCGGCCGTTTCGCTAGGGACATCCTCAAACAAACGGCTCCGGAGGGGGCTCCGAACCAACATGATCTTCGAATCGTTCCCGGAGGGCTTCGCGACGGTCACAAAACAACCTCCAAAGTCTCCGCGGAGCACCCCCCAAACCCCAAAGCGCCCCAGTTGATTCCCAAGAGGCTCCCATGAGGCGTCCAGGGCCACCCTTGAGCGCCCGAAGAGGCTCGCATCCTGCACAAGAGAGCCCCCAAACAGCCGCAGAGGGCGCTCAGATGGCCCACGAGAGCCCCTGCAGACCCTGGAGGCGCGCCTGGGCAGCCCATGAGGGTCCAAGACGCTTCCAGAGTTCCCCCAAGGGACCCCCAACAAGGTTCAAGACTCATCCACAAGCTCCCTTGAGCGACCGAATAGGTCCCCATACTGCCCACGAAAGCCCCAAGACGACCAGAGTCCACGCGCTCGTCTTCCCAGTTCTCTTCCTCCACGTCCTCGTCCTTCCCATCCCCCCATAGCCCTCCAATCCATCCTCGCTCTCCTGTACGTCCTGCACGCTGCCCTGGACGCCCGCCTAACGAGACAATGTAGCCACAGCAGCGGAATTCTGAACGATGGCCGTTTCGCTTGGGACGTCCTCAGAAGAATGGCTTCGGCGGGGGCTCCGAATCAGCATCGTGTTGGAGTCGCTCTCGGAGGGGCCCACCGTGGCCCAACAGAGCCCCCAAAGGCCCCCCGGAGGACCCACAGAGGGCCCCGAGAGGCCCCCAAGGGCGCCCCAGGAGGCCGCCAGACGGCCCAGGACAGCCCAAGGTGGCGCCAAGACGGCCTGAGAGAGCCCCCACAGAACCCCGAGGCGCCCAGACAGCCCAAGAAGACCCCAGCAGCCCCCGAACTGGGCCCAACAGGCCCGCAAGAGGCCCCCCAGGACGCCCCAAGATAGCCCCAGATGGCCCCAACAGCCCCCAGATCACGAGGACCCGCCCCTTCGACGTTCTTTTCCTCGGGCTCCTTGCCGTCCTCTTTTGCTGTCGTCGCCCTTCTTCTCCCCCTACTCATCGTCCTCCTCCTCCTCCTCCGCTTCGTTCCTCCTCGTACTCATCCTCGACCTCTTCCTCGTCGTCCTCGTGCTTGTCTTCCTAATCGTTGTCCTCCTGCTCGCATCGCTGCCCTCCATGCCATCCACCCTCGTAATCTGCCGCCTTGTCCTCGCCATCATCCTTAAGAGCCCAACGGACAGCATCGGCGCTTCCCATTCTTGTCCGATCAGGTTTCGACGGCCCGCCACCCCTGTGCCTTGGGAGCCCCTGAGGTGGGCAGTGCAGCATTGCAACGGCGGCGTCGTCGCCCTGTCTGGTCTCCGGAGGGTTAAGGGTTGAACAGGCACAGAGTGCCCGATGCGAATCTCCAGCGAATTTCTGTCCGCCCTCTTCCCTCCCTCTTCCCTCCCTCCCTCCCTCCCCTCCCTCTCTCCCCCCTCTCACGTCCTAGTCAGGTGAATAAGCAGAACCTGAGCAGGCTGCAAAGGGGGCTCCCGCCTAAATATGGTATGGGAGTCCCAGGAGCCTGACCTTTGGTCTGGGGTCTGAGCTCGCACTCGGGGTTCCCACCAGGATGCCTTCACTGCCTTCCCTCCCTCCCTCCCTCCCGCCTCTCTCTCTCTCCCCTCCTGTGGGCCCACCCCTCCGCGCTTCTCCCCGGTGGCCCCCTTGGGAGGAGCACGTCACGGGCAACTCCCTCAACGACGGGTACTGCTCGGCGAAGAACGGGGACAAGCTCTTCGGCGCGGGCGGCGAGCGCAGGCTGGGCTCCACGGGCCACCACGCCGCGCACGCCGCGCACGCCGCGCACGCCGCGCACGGGCACGCCGCAGAGGCCGCCAGGACGCGGGGACGGCCCGACCGGCCTCTGGCAGAGCGGGCCCCCTCTGGGACGGCCCCCTCGGCCCCTCGGCCCAATGGGCGTGGGCAGGCGGCCGGAGGGGAGCCGCCATGGGCGAGGGGCTCGTCGCGGAAGGGGCCTGTCACCGGAGGGGGGCTGGTCCAGCCACGCGCGGAGGACGGCGGCGATCGAGGAGGCCCTCGGCTCCGTGGGGAAGAAGAGCAAGGGCAAGGAGTGGGACGCGGATAAGGAGCTGGACGACGAGCTGGACCGCCTGCTGGAGGAGCCGCCGGTGAAGAGCGACTACATGAAGAAGATGGGCGACGCCCTGGACAGAGGCATGGTGCTCATCCTCTCGGTCTGGGACGACCAGGCGACGAACATGGCTTGGCTGGACGCGAGCAGCCTCGTTGGCCAGAGCGAGTCAGGCGGCAGCACCGTGTGGGAGGGCCCGTGCTTCGAGAACTCCGCCGACGTCAGGGACACCGCCCCGGACTCCGCAGTCACGTTCACCGACATTGCGTACGGGGAGCTGTTCAGCACCTGCCCCAGCTGCAAGGACGCGGAGATCCCGACACACACGAGCAGCAGCAGCAGCACCAGCAAGCCGACGCCCAAGCCCACGAGCTCGGTCAGCGAGGAGCCCGCAGGCGGCGAGAGCGTTCGCACGACGGACTCGTCGACGGAGCCCCCGTGGGTCTTCGACAAGTCCACCACCACGGCGCCAGCGCCGCCCCCGCCGCTGTTCATGAACTTCGGGTTCATGGGCATGGTCGTCTTGGGGGGGTCGGCCGCGGCTGGTCTCTGCGCGTGGAGCTATCTCAAGGCCGCCGCGGCGCGGTCGCGGAGGGAAGGAGGAGGGTCTCGCGTACGGCCAGGCCACTGAAGTCATGTTGTCGTCGCACTGTGGATGCCTGGAGGTCTGGGCCCCTCTCCCGTGGCTGGCTTTTCGTCCCGAGCCGATGTTTGACGGCCCCCAGAGCCCAGTGAGGGCCCCCCCCAAGGGGGGCCAGGACCAGGGGCCCGCCCAGATTTTGGTTCGCGACTCGACCCCCCAGACCTGCCCTGGGGTGCGTTTCCGGTCAGCACCTCGAGGCGGCGAGGAGCCTCCCCGTGGCCCCCCCAACAAAGGCCAGAGAGCGTCCAGAGTCCTCGAGCCTCGAGTGTCGAAAAGGTTTGTGGGACTTGGGGTCTGGCGGTGGTGGACTCGTGGAGGATCGGCTACGGCAGCTTCGGCGCTGCGGTGCTCCCCCTGCGGCATTCTGCTTCCTCGTGGAGGGGAAGCCTCGGATTTGAACTGTCTGCGAGAAAGATGACGAGGGACGAGGTGAGCGATGGCGAGAAGGTCGACGGCCGATGGTGAGAAAGAAGGTCGATGGACGAGGAGAACGAGGGGTAAGGCTGAGGTCGAAGGACGAGGGACGAGGTGAGAGAGGACGAAAAGGTCGAGGTGCGAGGGTGATTCGGGGAGAAGGTCGAGCGACGAGGAGGGTAAGGGACGCATGGATCGGAGGGGTCAGATGAGGCGGAAGTGGATGCTGCTGCTGCTGCTGATGATAATGTTGTTGTTGTTGTTGATGATGATGATGATGATGATGATGATGATGATGATGATGGTGGTGGTAATGCTGATGCTGCTGCTGATGATGATGAGGATGAGGTTCGGGATGGTAAGGATGATACTGATGATATTGATGATGCTGAGGATGAGAACGATTGTAATGGTGATGACGATGACGATGCTGCTGCTGATACTGATGACGATGATACTGAGGATGCTGATGAGGATGATGATGATGATGAGGATGCTCGTGATGAGGATGATGCGGATGATGATGAGGATGATGAGGATGACGAGGTTGATGATGATGAATATGATGATGCTGACGACAACAATGCTGATGCTCATGCTGCTGATGATGAGGATGATGATGATACTGATGATGATGAGGATGATGAAGGTGGGGATGCGGATGATGCTAATGATAACGATGATGGCGATGCTGAGAAGGAGGAAGATGATGATGATTGATGGTAATGGTGATGGTGATGGTGATGATGCTGATGATGCTGCTGATGATGATGGTGATGGTGATGATGATGGTGGTCAGGATGATGATTCTATTATCTTTTTCATTCTTATTGTTATTATTTTGAGAATGAGAAGGAAGAGGATGAGGATGAGGAGGAGGAGGAGGAGGAGGAGGAGAGGGGGGGGAGGAGCACGAAGAGGATGAGGAGCGGGAACCAGAGGACCAACTGGTGAAGTCCAGATGGACCACGTAACAGTGAGAAAGAGAAAGACCGGATAGTGAGATTGTGAGCTGCATGAGGAGCATGAGGAGCATGAGGTGCGGGAGGAGCACGTGGAGGATGACGAAGATGATGATGCTGTTGATGATGATGACGATGATGATGCCGATGATGGGGATGCTGATGATGATGCTGATAACGATGATGATCTAGATGGTGGTGTTGCGGATGCTGAGCATGACTCGAATGGCGAGAAGGATGTGTGTGATGTCGAGGGCGATGCTTAAGGTTTTGGATGAGGATGGTGTTGCTGATGATGCTGATTCTGATGCTGCTGCTGATGATTTTGATGATGGTGATGCCGATGCTGTTGATGATGATAAGGAGGAGGAGCAGGAGGAGGATGCTGACGATCGTGAAACCGATAATGATGATGATGATGATGATGATGATGATGATGATGATGATGATGATGATGATGATGATGATGATCATCATCATCATCATGTTGCTGACGATGATGATGATGATGATGACGATGGTGATGATGGTCGTGGTGGTGGTGATGATGATGCTGTTGATGACGATGTTGCTACTGCTGATCAGGATGATGCTGATGATAAAACGATTGCTGCGACTGAACACGTTGACGAGGATTAGTATATTGGCCATGCGGAGCACTGTGATGATGCTGACGATGATGACGAAAATGCTGAGGTTGTTGCTATTGTTGATGATGGTGATGCTGATGATGATGATGCTGACGGTGCTGATGCTGACAATGATGATGATGCTGCTGATGATGATGATGACGATGATGCTGATGATGATGCTGATGACGATGCTGATGATCGTGGCATCACCAGCAGTATGACGATCAGATGCTGATGCTATTGATGATGCAAACAACGACGACGATGATAATGATTATGACGAGAGTGATGATGATGATGATGATGATGATGATGATGATGATGGTGATGGTGATGATGATAAGTATGATGCTAATGCTGATGCAGCTGAGGATGATGCTGATGCTGATGATGCTGATGATGATGATGATCATGATGCTGATGATGATGATGATGATGATGATGATGATGACGATGATGATGCTGGTCGTGGTGATGGTGATTCTGATGATGTTGATGACGGTGTTGCCACTGCTGATCATGCTGCTGGTACTGATGATGATGCTGCTGATGATGATGCTGATGATGATAGAAAGCTTGCTGCGACTGAACACGTTGACGCGGAGTAGTATACTGGCCATGCGGAGCATTGTGTTGATGCTGACGATGATGATGATGATGACGGTGATGTTGAGGATGTTGCTAGTGTTGATGATGCTGCTGATGATGATGATGCTGATGATGATGCTGACGATGCTGATGCTGACAATGACGATGATGATGCTGCTGATGATGCCGATGCTGCTGATGATTATGCTGATGGCGATGCTGATGATCGTGGCAACACCATTAGCAGTACGATCAGATGCTGATGCGAATGATGATGCAAACAGCGACGACGATGATAACGACTATGACGAGAACGATGATAATGATGATGATGGTGATGGTGATGGTGATGCTGATGATGATGATGCTGATGCTGATGCAGCTGATCTTGATGCTGATGATGATGATGATGCTGAGGATGCTGACGAAGATGATTGCGAGTCCGATGATGCTGCCGCTGATGCTGCTGATGCTGCGGATGACATTGGCTGATGATGATGCCGATGATCATGCTGATGATGATTATGATGACGATGATGCTGATGCTGATGGTGGGATGACTGTGATCGTGATGGGGATGATGGTGATGGTGGTGATGGTCATGATGGTGCTGCTGATCATGATCATGATCATGCTGCTGGTGATACTGATGATGATGCTGCTGCTGATGATGATGCTGTTGATGGTGACGAGTATGGTCGTGCAGCTTATGCTGATGATGCTGATGATGATCCTGCTGATGATGGTGGTGATCGTCATCATGACGATGATGACGATGAAGACGATGATGCTGATGATGCTGATGCTGATGATGATGCTGGTTGTGGTGGTGGTGATCCTGCTGCTGATGATAGTAATGCTGATGCAGATTCTGGTGGTGGTGATGATGATGCTGATGATGATAATGCTGATGATGATGATGATATGATGATGGTGCTATGACGATGACGATGACGATGATGATGATGTTGATGATGATGAGGGTGATGATGCAGATGGTGAAGATGATGATGATGATGATGATGATGATGATGATGATGATGAGGATGAGGATGAGGATGAGGATGAGGATGAGGATGAGGATGATGAGGATGATGATGATGATGGTTGGGACCAAGGTTATGATAAAGGAGGAGGACGTTGAGGATATTAGGATGAACTTCAGGAAGAGGAGGCGGAGGACGCGGAGGCGGAGCAGGATGAATATGAGGAAGAACATGTCGAAGGACATCATGAAGGATGCAGGAGGAGAGGCGGAGAATGATCACGAGGAGGCGTATGAGGAGAACGAGGTGGACGAGGTTGAGGATAATGAGGACGAGAAACGGAGGAGGAGGATGAAGAGAAGGAGCAGGAGGAGACGGAGGTGGAGGGGAGGAGGAGGAGGAGGAGGAGGAAGATGAGGAGGAGGAGGAGGGGGGGGGATGGGGCATGAGGGAGCATGAGGGAGAAGATGAGGAGTGAGGAAAGTGGAGCAGGAGGAGGAGGAGGAGGAGGGAGAGTTTGGGAGAAAGAGATGAGCAGGAGGGGGACTTGGGATGTGAGGAGCAGGAGGAACATGAGGGGGAATATCGGAAGTGAGGAAATACGGAGGAGGAGGAGGAGGAGGAGGAGGAGGAGTAGAAACCCGGGACGCATCACCGATGTTGCAAGACACCTCCCCCCAAGTTCTCTCTTCGTAGGCCCCATACAAACGTGTGCTTTCATTGCGGGAAGTGCCCGTTTGAACTGCAACCGTCTCAGATTCCCCAACCGTTCCAAATGGCCAGTCTTCGGACATCAGTGCCGAAAATCGCCTTACCCGTTGCGTCCTGACAATCCCGAATCTTGCCAGAAGCCATTCCGGGGAATCCGACGTTGCGAAACAACGTGACCGTTCCGGCCTGCCAATTTTTTATTGCGCCAGTGCACAATTGCTGCGTTTTCATCCGCAAGAATCTTTGACACTGGAGACGGGGCTCGCGTTGCTCAGGCGAGAGTTTCACTTAGACGAGGGAGCGCCCTTCATCCTATCAGCTGTTGTAAACTTTACGACGAATGTGTGTGGCGCTGAGACGAGGGCACCATTTTTAACACCACCCGCTCGTTATCGTGGAATTCGTCGACTGTGCGCGGCGCTGAGGCGGGAGCCACATCTGAAAAACGACCCGCCTTCCGTCCTAGACGCGGTTGCAATGTTGAAGTTTCAAGATCATAGGTTGTGTGGAAGTTTCAGGCGAAACGCCCAGGCCGCTCTGCAAACACGTCTGTGGGTGTGACTGGGAGGAGCTATGCACAAGGAGCAGGGGTGGAGGAGGAGGTGGAGGAGGAGGAGGACGAGGAGGACGAGGAGGAGGCTGATGATGAGGAGGGAGAGGGATGCAGGAGCAAGTTTTCTGGACGGCAGTTGTTTCAAGCATCCTGTGGTTGAGCTTTCCCGTTCTGGGTGGTGTCTCGCCATGACTGGCCAACACGCCAACCTGCTGTGCGAAGTCACAGCGCCTGTCTGGGCCCCCTACCCTCAGACTCCCTAGGCCGTGGAGTTCGGGGCGTGTGGGGGGTCTGAATTTCTCCTTAAAGGCTGAGGCTGACTCCTTCAGCGACTGCCATAATGTTGTGGATCAGTTTTTGCTCGGCCCTGGTAGGTTCCTGTCGCCTAAGCTAGCATCTGCTGGGCTCATGATCCACGGGGTCTCGGGGGCTGGTTCGAAGATTGCCAGTCTGACCAAGGTTGATGCGCAGAAGGACCTTGACGAGCAAGGCATAGGTGCGCAGGAAATGTTTGTTTGCCGTGGCCACTATTTCGCAGACATGGGCGCCATACGAGCTGTGTCTTGGCACCCTCAGTTCTCGGCCGATGACTTGGCAGCAGTCGATTTGAAGGTTAAGGTCGCCAGATACGTTATGGACCTTGCTGCTGCTGTGCTGCCTCTCGTTCCTCGGGTGGATTTTCTGGGACTGGAGCGGGTTCCTCCTCCTCCTGCTCCTCCTCCTCCTCCTTCTGGGCTCGTATGCCTGGCTTCTGGCGGTGTCGAGTCTGCCTCAAGGGCTCCGCGAGTTCCTCCAGCCGAGGGTTCGTGTCGTGGCCACAGCAGGTCAGACAGTGTTGGTTTGGATCGGCTCCAGCATCGCGTCATTGCCCTCGAAGCCGGTGGTAATTCATCTTCTCTTTTGTTTGAGTTGCCATTCCCATTCGTCGGAAGCCCAAGTTCCTGACCCCGGTAAGGCGTGTCGGCCTTCGGCCGTGTTTGGCAACAGGAACCGGAACAAGATCAGACATAGGAAACACTCAGGTAAAGTTGGTTCCACTCTCAAATTGGTCCTGATCAAGCCTTTGACCCATCATTATCGCACTGCTGCCGTGTTAGCCTCCTTTCTGCAGGTTCTTGTTTGAGGTGCCGTATATTGTAAACAAAAAGATGCATGAGCAGAAGGGAGGACGACGAAGGTGAGGGATCAGGGAGGGAGGGAGGAAGGGGGAGGGGGGGGGAGGGGGGGAGAAGGAGGGGGAGGAGGATGAGGATGAGAAGAAGCGGAGGAGGAAGAGGAGGACGACGACGACGACGACGAGAAGGGTGTCCTGCGCCCGCCCGCGCGCGCGCGCCCTCAGTCGCAGGGCTGGGAGCTGCGCGTCAACAGGCGCTCTGCTGCCGCCCCGATGGGGAGGCGGGACCGTGAAGACGCTGAAAGACGGACCACCTTCTTGGGCTCAGGAGCGGTCTCTGATTCACGGGCCGTTCCTCAGACCTGGGCCGGGGTACTTCGCCGTAGTTCGCCGTGGTGGAGCAGTCTTTCTCGGGTTCCTTATTCAGCTTGTGGCTTGGCGGCGGGGCGACTGTATGGAGAGCGGGGGGCGAGGGCCGATAGTGATCGGGAGAGAGGTGGAGCAGAAAGGGGAGGATGTGGGAGGGAGGAGAGAGGGTATGAGGAGGAGGATGAGGAGGAAGAGGATAAGGATGGGGATGATGATGATGATGATGGTGATGATGATGATGCTGATGGTGATGATGCTAATGACGATGGCGGTGGTGAGGATGATGATGATGATGATGATGATGATGATGATGGTGGTGGTGGTGATGATGATGCTGCTGATGATGCTGACACCGATGCTGCTGATGATGATGCGGATGCTGATGCTGATGGTGATGATGCTGATGATGCTGGTTACGATGATGATTATGATGATGATGATGATGATGATGATGATGATGATGATGATGATGATGATGATGACAGTGATGACGACGATGATGCTGCTGATAATGATGATGATGGTATGATGATGATGCTGATGGTGGTGTTGGTGGTGATGACGGTGGTGGTGGTGATGATGGTGAACGTGAGTACGTGGATGGTGATACGAATGATGGCGATGCTGCTTATGACGATGATGCTGCTGTGGATGATGATGATTCTGATGATGCTTATGCTGCTGCCGCTGATACTGATGCTTGTGATGAGGATGATGCTGATGAGGCTGTTGATGATACGATTGTTGAGGTACTTGTGGTTATGAGTACGATGATGCTGATGATGCTGATGATGATGTTCATGCTGCTGATACTGATGATGGTGCTGCTGATGATGCTGATGCTGCTGATGATAATGCTGATGATGATGCTGATGCTGATGCTGATGCTGATGATGATGATGCTGACGATGACGATGAGGATGAGGATGATGATCAGGATCCTGATAGTGATGATGCTGCTGCTGACGAGGATGATTACGATTATGATGATGCTGCTTCTGCTGCTGCTGACGATGATGATGACGATGATGATCATGCTGCTGCTGATGATGATGATGATGATTGAGATCTTGACCATGGTGTCGGGGGTAGTGGGTGACAGAGAGTATGATGATACTGATGCTGGTGAGGATGAGGTGGGTGAGGATGATGATGATGATGCTGATGCTGATGATGCTGATGGTGGTGTTGATGATGTTGATGCTGATGATGATGCTGATGTTGATGATGATGATGATGATGATGATGATGATGATGATGATGATGATGATGATGATGATGACGGTGACGGTGCTGCTGCTGATGATGATGATGATGTTGTTGAGCATGCTGATAGTTCTGCGGAAGAGGCAGATGAACATGATGTTGCTGTTGATGTTGTTGCTGACGATGATGCTGCTGATGATTATTAGTATCAGTATCCGTATTATTAGCATGTTGATTATCTTCTGGTGATTCTGATGCTGATGAGGAGGAGGAGGAGGGAGGAGGAGGAGAACAAGGAGGAAGATGAGAGCTGCAGAAGGGACGAGGGGAGAGGGAAGAGGAACAGAGGGGAAGAGGGTGAAGGGAGGAGGGAAGAGTGAGGAGGGCGAGGTTTGGGGGAGTGAGGGAGTCAGTGCGTGATGGAGTCAGAGCGTGAGAGAATGAGGGAGGATAGAGGTGGAAGGAGGGAAGATGCGAAGGATGATATTGACAACGGTGGACGGGTGATGGGGAGGAAGGAGGAGGACGAAGGGAGGAATCAGCAGGGAGGAAGGGCGGAAGGATAGTGGATGGAGGATACATTTATGAGGACGAGAGCGAGGTGGAGCATGAGCGGGAATGGCACAAGCAGCATTGTGATGATGAGGATCAGGATGGGAGTGACCACGAACGGCGATGATCAGGATGATGCTACTGCCGCCGCCGCTGCTGCTGATGAGCCTCAAGGGCTGCCGGTAGGTGGGGCAGGCCCCCCTGAATTGTCACTGCGCACGGGCAGGACACAAACACAGTAGACCATGGACCGACCCTTACGGAGGTTGTCCTGCGAACGTGGCCGAAATTCGGCCGCGGCTAGGTGGCTGGATCCGTCTGTCAGGACTCGGGCTGCCAAGACATCCGCGCTTCGCCCTTTTGGGCCCGATGGTCGGTTCCATCCTCCAGGGTCGAAGGAGTTCGCCGCAGCTAGGTGGCTGGACCCACCTGTCAGGGCGCGGGCTGCGAAGATAACCACTCCTCGCCCTTTTGGGCCTGTTGGCCGGATTCATCCTCCAGGGCCGGAGTCGCCAAGACAACCGCGCTTCGCTCATCCATAGCTGTTTCGGCTCAGGCGCTGGGGTGGCAGCCCGTGATGGCCGAGTCCCTAGCCGTTACGGCTGGCGTCCGGCTAGAAGTTGACAAGGCCGACGGCAGGAGAAGGTCATAGACAAGTTCGACAGGGGATCCCTGAAGGATGACACCCTGCCTTTGTCCTCCGCACCAAAGTTCTACATAGCGTGTGCCAGGGTGGCCGCCGAGCAGTTGAAGGTTGCCTGGGACGCCCAGCTGGGGGCAGAAGACGGACGAGAAGGTGCCGGCGAAGGAGTTCGGGGATGCGTGCGACGGCTTCTCGTTGGCTTCGGAGCACACGCCCATGCCGCAGATGGTGGCCCAGGCAGTCCGCGAATTCAAGTCCGACGACGGGCACGTCAGTCTGACCGACACGCGCCGGATCCGATACGAGTTCCAGCTCAAGCCACAGCAGCCAGCTACATCCACTCCGCTGTGCCCCTTTGAGTCCCTGGTCACCAAGGGTGGCTCGCAGCTTCCGCTTCCGCGTGAGCATAGCGACCCAGGCTTTTTCCTGGAACCCCATCGTCTCATGTCCTTGGGTTGGGCCCTGGCTGGCGCAGGCCTGGTGGAGTCGAAGATCCAGTGCGACCAGGACAAGAAGTGCCCCAAACAGGTCCGTCAATGCCATTTCCGGGACGCTTTGGGGTACCGTTGGTTCGTCGAGACCTAGGCGGACCAATGTGGCCTCCTGAAGCAGGGCTGTCTAGACTGGCTCATGACCGAGGACCAGGCGACGCGCTCCTTGGCGAAGAAACTGTTCCTGGATTGTCACCCGTGGGGCGAGGCAAAGCAACATGCCCGCAGCCGCGACTGCTTCCTGGACTGGCAGCTCGCCGCCGACCAGTCCGTGAACTGACGCAGGGTCCAACCAGACGAGGTCGGATCTGAAGACAAGTCCAGGACGAAGGACGAGCGCAAGGCTGGCCAGTCGCCAGGGGCGGGTTCCGACAACGCCCCCCCTCGCAAGAAGGCCAAGTGCCCCGGGGCCAATTCCGCGACGGACTGCGTCAAAAAAAAACGCAGTTGCCCGCGTAAGATCGCGAGCCGTTGCTCCACGAATGGGAATTGGAACCGCCGTGCCAACATTCGCAGGAACAAGTGAGGCGCGAACGGGCAGGGGCCAACGTTTTCTTTGAAAACGCCCCCTTTTCCTATCCCGTCCTCCCTATATAGAATCCTCGACGCCGCCATTGCCTACAGACCCGTCCTGCGGCCAGCCCGCGGGGGGGAAGTTGTTGACGCTTCGCGTATCCCCTGCCAGCGTGCAGGTTATCCCTACCTGTCCCGACAAGCGCCTCCACCGGAGTGGAC